TTTTAAATGCATTTTCTACCTAAGGAGTTTCTATGGGTATTGCAGTATCTTTGTTTTTCTATAATATTTCATGTTTTATAGCATCTTGTGATTCTACCTGTGTACATAACTGTTATACATGCTTGAGGCAGTCTAGCTAAAGAAGTTTTGCTATAATTGGTAGAAGTGGATGATAAGGAGACATGTCACTCTACTCAGATACAGAAGAGTTTGGGGTGACAACCATATTAAGTTACTGTCAAATCATTGAGACTGGCACAAGTTGCTTTGTTAAATTATGCCAGCCATAGCTGTTCATATGCTTCTGGTGATCAAAGAAAATGAATTGACACACCAGTGGTTTATGTGGCTTGTTATAATTCTTTAGGTGCAGCTATCTTCTTTGAATTCAAACACTACAATCCTAAAAAATGGTTTACCAGCACCAAGTGTTTTGCTTTCATGGAGAGGGATGAAACTAAAGCTGGGCCAATTGTAATAGAACTGTAAGTGATGTGCATATAGAATTAGTACTAATTTGATGGTGACTAGTTTATCTTTCTTCTTAATATACCATATCCAGTATTTAACCCTGGAATAATTTAGTATTTTAAGCAATGGTCTTTCTGTTGTAATTACAGATACAAGAAACCCACTGACTTTAAAAGAAAGAAACTGCTATTATTGACTAAGAAACCACTTTATCTTCATTTACATCCAACTTTGCACAAGAAATGATCCTGACATGAAGAACCCGAACTTCTGTGAATTTTACCACTCAGTAGAAACCATCATAGCTCTGTGTAGCATATTCACTCTTCAACAGGCAGGAAGCAAGCCGCATCCAGACCAGCAGGCCAGAGGGAGTCCTTTGCAAACCTCTACCACAGAATCAAAGTTCAGCACATCACTGATGTGTAAGACTCCTTTGGATACAGGTATATTGTAGATTTTGAAACATGTTTTTACTTTTCTATTAATTGTGCAATTAATAGTCTATTTTCTAATTTAACACTACTCCTACCCTGCTTCCTGGAACAATACTATTGTGGGATGTGCTCATCTTCAGACTTAATACAGCAATAAGAATGTGCTAGAGTTTACACATCTGTTCACTTTTGCTCCAATATGCTCTTTTGATTTAACTTCAAGCTTTGGGTTGATGTGGGTAAGAGAGTGTCATACTGCTTTGAGAGGAATTGGACCAATTCTGCTGCCTAAGAAGGTCTGTCTGGATATTTATAGGCTGCTCCTCCTAAGTGGCCTAAATTCACCCTGATCTGACAGTTATTTCTGCTTAGAAAGTGTGCCTTGGCCAGATCAGTATCCCATAAGGGAGTGTTCCCTAGGTTGTAGCTGTGATTGTTTCCAGATGACCAGATTGTTTTTCTGAAAGTGAGCATATTTTTAGTCATGTTGATTAGCCATTCTTCTACATCACATTATTACTCTTTCTGATGATGATTCTAGGGTTAGTATTGAAACCATCTCAAAAGAATTACAAATTTTTAGATGGGTTTACAACATCTTCTAAATAATGTAATCTAAAAATAATTGAGGCAGATGCTAACGAGATACTGCAGGCATAACTGCTGTTTTTCTGACAACTGATTGTGAAACCTTAAAACGTTCTTATAGTGAGGAGTGCAAAATCTGGAAATATATTCTATTTTTTATATATAGGTAGATAGGATCACCATTTATTTCCTATTTAGATATACTGACATTCATTCATATGAAAATGAATGCAGGTCATTATCTTACTATAATTTGACTATTTACTTTTTACTTAATTGGGCATAAAGAAAACTTTTGTAGTACACATGAAGTGGATATTTGATACACAGAACATTAAGATTTGTGGTGGGCTTTCTGTGGGTTAGATGTAAAGCCCACATATTTTAATATTCACTATTTTAAGTGAGCAATGCATGAGGGGAATGCAATGTCAGTACCTGGCCTATTTTTAAACTAGTGTAATCACCCTAGTCATACCATTCAGTATGTTTGCTTTTTAAAATAAGTAACCACAACTAAGTTGTTTTAGTCCTTGCACTTCAAGAGATCTAGTTTTTCTTTCAGTTGTCTGTTAGGTCCATTCCATTTACAACACGGTTGTTCATAAAAACTATGTGAGCCTGAAAAAATTCTCAGCCAAATTTCGTCTTGTCTCTCATCTTGGTTGGATTAATTCCAAATCCTAAAATGATTCAGTCCACAATAGCTCTAGGGGATGAAGAATTTGCCTTACTTTGTTCACTCAGTTCTTAAGACGGTGAGTTGTCAAATCCCTAGACTGTAAGCTCTTCAAGGAGCAAGAGGCACATTTTCTCCATGTTAGGTAATGTTTCTGAGGTGCTTGGCAGCACTCACTCTGTACCCTGTGGAGTACTCAGTACCTTTAGTTTGATGTTGCTGACAAGACCTTAAAAACAGTCCCTTAAAGAAACCCATTAAAATGTAGCAAAAACGATGTATTATTTTGTCTCTTTTCTCATAAACTATAAGATATGTATATCAAAGTGATAATTTATATGAAGCATCTGCTATCCTTCACATAATTATGGTTTATATGAACTACAAATACCTTTCATCAACATTAAAGAAGCTTAAATTTAACACTGTGTGATTAGCTGAACTTTAATTCAGCCCTGAATGTAACAAAAAAAATGAGGGATTGCCTTGAAGTTGACACAGACTATACCACATTCCACAAATTATTTAAATTTACTTTCCAATGAAAGAAATCAGCCACTGATGATATAACTACAACTAGAGTAGAAATGTTTTTAGGCTGAATATTGCTGCTTTAGAAATAAGTCAATTTTAGCAACTAAATCAAGACACAATTAGTTGGCGATGACTGTTGAAAGAGATTAAACTTTAGAGATGGAGAAGTTACTTGACTGAGGGATGATACTCCCTGTACCATCTGCATATTGGCAACCTGCTTGGGCTTTGCTGTACAAATGCTGCAATCAGGTGGATGTGAGAGGAAGCAATTATGGACTGGTCCACAGCTTCTCAGATAAGCTACACTGGAATCTTTACAGTTTACCAATTCCTCAATGATATCAGATACAGAAAAATCACCAAAAAAGACTTTAGAGGGGAAAATACTCCAATTTTGAATTTAAAAAACGGATTTAATTTACCTTTCCTACTTACCTTCCTAGATGGCATAATCTACATTTAAATGACATTTAAAATTAGAAACTGGCTGGGCTTGATGACTCATGCCTATAATCCCAGCACTTTGGGAGGCCGAGGTGGGCAGATCACCTGAGGTTGGGAGTTTGAGACCAGCCTGACCAACATGGAGAAACCCCATCTCTACTAAAAATACAAAAAAAAAAAAAATTAGCCGGGCATGGTGGTGTATGCCTGTAATCCCAGCAACTCAGGGGGCTGAGGAAGGGGAATCACTTCAACCTGGGATGTGGAGGTTGAAGTGAGTGAGATCGTGCCATTGCACTCCAGCCTGAGCAACAAGAGTGAAACTTTGTCTAAACAAATGTAATGATAATAATTAGAAATTATTAACTTCAGCATTGTTTTGTGTTCTAAAGAGATTGACAGGTAAACTGAAAAGCTGTATTTGTGACTTAATCTTATTTTACATGGTTAAAAGTGGCCTAAGCCCTCTATGGAGTTTTCCTCTTAATTTCTATTCTTGTATTAAGTGAGAAGAAATACAGACTGAATTCTCTTTTCCTGAAGAATTCATATATTCCTTATGAACTGTGAAAGAGTTGTCTTCTTTCAAAGGTCCTTATCTTTCTAAAGTATCTTCAGTCATTTAGTACAAAGAGAAAATTTTGTTTCATGTCAAAGCTTTTGCTCCTTTATACAAGGTATTAATCGATTAAATATCAAAATAGTGACAAGTCATACACTAAGTTTTAAAAATATTATATCATAGAGCTTTAAAGAATGGAAGAACATAGCCTAGCAATTAAGGAAAGTATCAGCCTTTTAGGATTGTAATCTAAATCTTAAAACTTCTTAAAAGAAGTGCTATTATTACTGTATTTTAAATGTCTGAAGAGTTCTTAGAAACACAGTTTTTAAAGAAACATTGTTTTAAAGACACTGCGTAGTAATGGATAAGACTTTTAAGTATGGTGCAATTCCAGATAGTTAATGATTTTTAAATGAAAGCACCAATGTTTAAATATTAATTTTGGAATGCGTCATCCTCCCTTCCTCCCAAAAAAAGAATTAATTTCAACCCTTGGTTGTTGACCTACGGTATGTTGTAAGCCTCACAGCCCTACATCATTATTTCTCATGGCATTATACTTTTCCAATCTTTTTATTATATTCCTTGAAAATCAGTGGCAAGGTATGGGAAAGATAAGAGACCATACATTTTAAAATTTAAGAGATTTCAGTGTTTTATGACACATCGTTTTCACGTTTCTGTTGTGCACCCTTTCTACAGGAATGGTAAAATCAATAGAACATCAGGTCAAACAACTCTTGCTACTAATGTAAACTCACTCTCTGAAAACCATTCTCAAATAGACATTGAGCGTCATAAAGCAAGCATGTGAATGCTACACAAGTGGGAACCCCCTAACTTCTTTGAAATAAAAAGACATCACTTGTAGAGTTCACAGGTGAATGAGGGGAGCAGCCGGAAGTGTGCAGCCAGACATCATCTTCAATTCTGGGAGACTGAGTTTACATGTTTTCCAAATGGCACAAGCCTCCTAACAGTCCAGTGAATCAACAGACACTTCAGAAATATTAATAAACCACTTTTTATGAACTATTACTACAAAGAACTTCAGCAAGAGGGGAGAGAAAGTTTAGTGACCTTTTAGTAAACATTTTTAGCTTAACAGTCTTTGGGACCAGATATTTTAAAAAAAAATGCTTATAAATGCCATTGCTCCATACTCAGCTGCTGTACACTAAAAACAGGATGATGGAAATACATGTTTTTAAAGCACTTCCACAGGAAATGTTCATATTTTTCATGACATTCTAAATCATTTAGCAATTACAATGCTATATTAGCTAAAACACAAGTGTTCTTTATTGCACATTTCAAAGTAGTAAGGATGCTATAGCTTAAAAGGTGATTTTTATTTAGGGAAGAAATGACATTTCTGAATTGTTTGGCTCAAAAATGCATACTGCCAAGGAAGCTTAGTTCTAACAACAGATCTTTTAAAATAAACTTGGATTTTGAAGCCAATGAAATCCTTTACTGTAATGAATAATGTACAGTCCATTTTTTCTCCAATGAAACATCAGAGGTCATAGTTATGAGCTCTGCTTTAAAGCCGGTGAACAGTCCTGACTAGTGCTCTGAGAGGCAGGAGAAGGCTCATCTCTAGAGCATGTTGGCAGTAAGTCTCTTGTGGCAGGTAGTGGTGGTTAATCTTTGGGAATATGGGTTGGGGATGGTAATTGGGTACCAGGAATAACGTACTCTCTTGGGCCAAGAGGACCTAAAGGTATAAATGGTGCATGTCCTGGTAAAAATTCCTGAGGGCGGAGTGGCAGGTCCCATCTTCCTGCTGAAAATTCTCTTAAGCCTAGTGGTGGACGCATACCAGGGCCTGGAAAACAAAAATTATGTCGAGTGAATTCCTAGGAACATAGCTAAATTAAGATGATGCCAGGTATGTTAATATAATCAGTCATACTTTTTTTTTGTTGTTGGAGGCAGGATCTTGCCTGTCAGCCAGGCTGGAGTGGAGTGAAGTGATCATGGCTTACAGAGCCTCAATCTCCTGGGCTCAATCGATCCTCCCCCCTGAGACTCCGAGTAGCTGGGACGGCAGGTGCAAACCACCACACGCAGCAAATTTTTGTATTTTTTGAAGAGACACGGTTTCACCATGTTGCCCAGACTAGTCTCAAACTCCTAGGCTCAAGGGGTTGACCTGCCTCAGCCTCCCAAACTGCTAGAATTACAGGCATGAGCCACTGTGCCTGGCCTGTCATCTTTATCTTGAGATAGATTTGTACTTGAAAGTACTATATACCATAATGAGAAGACAGACTAAATATGGCTTCATACTACTGGATGTTAAAAATTTATATAGTAGCTCAACAAGTGCCTAATATATGTCATAAAAATCAAGGTGCTTTCCCTGCTGGAAAAAGCCTTCCAGTTTGATCTAATTAAATCAACAGCATTCATTAGATAGCAGTTAAATTCTACCTTCTCTTTGATATCTCCCTCCTTCGTATTCCCCAACCTGAGGGTTGAGGGTTTTACTTTTCCCTCTCTAATTTTCTGTGACCCACTGCTTATGCTTCTGTTATGAGTGATTAGAAGCTTCGTGTTGTAGATTGTGTATATCTGTGCCCTACAGCACATGATAATTAGGGGATGTGTTTTATCCACATTGCTATCCATTGCAGAACCTAGTACACAGACAGAGATGTTCAAAACACATGTGTTGAATATTTCTGGCTTTCTATAATAGCCCCTTTCCTTGGTCTGTTAGAGACAATTATTCCCCATCTAATCACAGGTCATTATGCAGCACCCTTTCTCTCTTAAGAAACTTGGGGAGAAGTTACAATGTACTCAGTCAGCTTCACCGCTGCATTGCAAAGCCCTACAATCTCAATTGTTTTAGAAAGGAATAGAGAGAGAACATGACTATGATTTACAAGTTAATCACTACTGTTCAGATCATCTTACCAAAGGGTGGAGGAATTGGCCGAGGCCCGAAAGGTCCACAGAACTGAGGCAGTGGTCCATATCGAATAGGTGGTGGTTCAGGGCCTCCCATGAGGGTGCTCATACGAGGGGCTCCTAGGAAAGGAGGGGGCCCTTTTGGAGTCATATCAACCTGCAGAGTAGAAGCAATTGAACATTTGAAATGCTCTGGTATGACAGACGAAAGTATCAACAACAGTAAAATCTAAAACCAAGGAAGAAGATGTAAGGCACTTGTCCGAAGAGCAGAATTAGTGCAACAACTACTGCTCTCATTTGTTCCCACTGACAGCTTAGAAAGGTTGAAAGTATGGCACAGGAGTGGACACTTTTGCTATAATCGTATTATTGCTTATATCTGCACGTGGAAGGGAAAGCAGAGGTTATAACGGGAAGTCATTTCTGACTAATACTATTTCTAAGGCAGTCACTCCCTCTGCACATCCCTCCCGTCAGAATAATTTCCAGATTTCGAATGCAGAGAATGAAAGGGAATGAAAAATCAATTCTCTACCATGTCATAGCAATTATTCTGAGTACACTCAACAGGCCTTACGAATGTTAGCTAGAATTCTCCTATCTCTAAATCTCTACTAGGACCCTCTTGTTCTAAATATACAGGAACAGAGGCACAGAGAGTATAAGATAATTTGCTGACAGTCACACAGCATGTAAGAAGCTGTGCTGGAATTAAATGCCAGGTTTGAGTCCAAGGCAATGTTCTTTCCACCTCTATATCTCCTCCCTAACAAAGAAGTCTCTACTGTCTTTGAAGTCTACTGCAAAGGGGTCTTGGGTCTTATACAAGATGCCCTTGGATAAAAAGATTTCTGAAGAGTTGTGTATTCCACGAGTAATGTGCTGGAACTCCAAAGTATGTCCCAAGAGAAGCAATGTTGCATACACAAATTACACAGGCACACTCTATTTACCTTCATTCACAAATAATACCGCCTACTATGAGACAATGACTAATCATTTCCTATGCGAAAGTGGTTTGGAAACTCTCAGTCATTAAAATAAATGTACTTTGATTTCACTACAGAGAAGTATGGTAAGGTGTCATCAGAGGACTTACCAGCCTTAACAGCTAAACAAGTTACA